TATGTTTCTGGCTCTTCAATAAATATAAAATTATTTGTCTTGCATGAATGAATTTTGGTTTAGGATTTAATTGTGTTAGTTTATGTTTGTCTATCTGTAATTTATTTAGGTTATTAGAAAATTTATGTTTACAGAGTTGTTATAAATCATAATCGAGTTGTTAAACCAAGGAAATTGTGGAGGTTTATTTATCATATATACTATATATATTATATAATTATATTGAAGGGAGTACGTTTAGAAGTCTTTTTAAATTTTTAAAAAGAAATAAAAATACTTTTCAATATATATCTGTTTTCTTTGAGGTAGAATTAAAGTTTCAGTTTTTTAAAACTTTAAATTAACTTAACAATGTTAAAATGGTTTAAACGGATTTTTGTAAATGAATTTAATCCTCAAAGATTAAATTTTTTTTATTATTGAAGAAATTAAACTAGATTTAAGAATAAGTCGACTTAAATGTTTGTTTGTTTTTCTATTTAGATGATGACAATATTGAAGCAAGTAAGTTAAAAAGCATTTTTAAATTTTTAAAAAGAAATAAAAATACTTTTCAATATATCTCTGTTTTCTTTGAGGTAGATTTAAAGTTTCAGTTTTTTAAAATCATATATATTTTAAAATCATATATATAACTCATATATCTTTGTTTTTCTATTTAGACGTTGGTAATAATATGAAACAAGTAAGTTATAAAGCATTTTAAAATTTTTAAAAAGAAATAAAAATACTTTTTATTATATATCTTTTTTCTTCGAGGTAGATTTAAAATTTCAGGTTTTTTAAATCATATATATTATAATATTAAATTCTTTTTTACTTTAAAAATATCTATATTATAGTTACACTGAGTCTTAGAAAAAAAATTAAAGTTTATTAATAAGGTAGTAGATTATTAGAGTAGATTAAATTGTTTGATCTATTACTCAACTTAATAACCTACTATTAATATGAAGATTTATTTTGGTTGTTTGTTTGTTAAAATTTAGTTAGAGTTTATTTAAAATTTAAATTCTTTAGTTAATCAAGAGAGATCTAAATAAGGTATTAATTACATTAGTTGAATGTGGCATTTAATATGTATTTTATCGATATAAGGAATAAAATAATAAGGAATAGAAAATTTTTAAAAATTTGCTCTGGAATTTGTCAAAAGAGTGTTGTGTTATGCTTCATTTTAAGGTATCTAAATATATATTCATTAAAAATTTTTAATTTTGTTTTTAAATGGTTTGTTCTTTTTCACTACTTTAGATAAATATATACTGACTGACATAACTTCATTTTTATTAACAATGTCGTGCATTGTAGTCTGCATTCTTTGTTACATTAAAAATAATTGATGCTAATAAATGTTCTTTTATAGTTGTTAAAAGTTTGCATATATGTTTGCATTTATATTATGATCAAAGTAAAATTTTTTTTGATAAATACGTGTATGCGGTGATACTACTCAGGTATCACCGCAGCTTATCTCTATCAGGTACATTGATTTTTAATTCACATATGATGTTTTTCTTTGTATTTACTTATTCATTACATTTTTAACTTCAGATTTATGGTGTATTTATTTGCTATAGAAGAACAAATCATTTTGAATTTTTTAAAAATATCTACACCAATCAACATTTAAAATTCAATGTAGCATATACCAGCTTCTAGGCTTTTTTGATGCTTTTCTTATTCAAGTGGTTTCATAAGCAAGGTCTACAAGCAAATTTGAGATAAATTTTCAGCTTTCAAGGAGTATCAATGTTGTTCTCTGTATACTTTAATTTGTTTAAATAGAGTAGTTTTAGTAAATAAATGTTTGTTTGTTCTTGGTTTTTTACTTATTTGTTATCAGATTCTTAAGAATTAGGCAACTTAGCAAGCAAGATTTATTTTATTTTTTAGTGCAATTGGAAAGAGCTAAAGTGCTTTTTAGTTACTTCAAATCATTTGTTTTTATTTTTTAAATAGAAGGGTTAATAATAAAAATATATAGACAGTCGAACTGTTACTGATTTGAGTAAGTTTAATTTTTTGTTTAATTTTATATTAGATATATATTTTATGTATTTAACATGAAAAACTGACTGTAATTTTTGACAGGTAAGTTTATATACTTAAATGTGCCTATATATCGGAATATTTTATATTTCTCTGAATCTATATGAATATTATCTCAAAGAAAAAATTAAGAATAGAAAAAATTTGAATATATATACATACATATATATTACTTTAGACTGACATTGCTTCATTTTTTATACAAGATTCTGCATTTATTATTTTTGTGCATTAAGATTGTGCCTAAAGGCTTTCTTAATTTAGCAAAGAATTTAGAACACAATGCAAATAACTTTGCACTGTGTTCTAAATTCTTTGCTAAATTAAAATAATGTAAATAAATTTTGTTTTATATTTTTCAGTTGTAAAAATATAAAACGTTCATTTATTCAGTTGTAACAGTAGCATAACCACTGGTAATATATATTTAATGATAACAGATTTATAATATTAGGCTCGAAGAAGTTATTAGTGTAAATGGTTATAGTTGACTTGAAATTGTTGTCATATGAAAGAAATAGATCTAGGCATGATAAAATTAATTGTCATTGAAATATAAGAAATTTTGCTTGATGAACCAAAAACTTACTTGGCAGAATTCAGTGTCAAGCGCTGTTGATGTCTATTATTTAACTTTACATTAGACACTTTAAAATAAAGCAAAGTATGAATTTTACTATTTATAGTAACAAATAATAAAAATTTCAGTTTTAAATGATTTTCTTTTTTTTTTTTTTTTTTTTTTACTTTTGTAATCTTAATATAATTGTTCATTTTTTTTTTAGTTGTCTTTGTCATCACTTGATTATTTTGCTTACTGTTAAAACATGGTTTTAATTTTGTAAATTTAATATGATGTGAAATTTACAATATTAATCATTTGTCAACAGTTAGAGAGAAGCTGGAAATAAATTAAGAAATGCTGGAAATTAACTTTTAGTTAAGGTAAAAATAATTTTGTTTATTGGTAGCATAATAAAACCAGTTACTGTTATTTATTGCATGACTTTTTTACTTTTTCTAACATGGTGTTTTTAAAACACTTCCTCTCTCTCTTAGATGAGACTTAAATAAGAATTAGTATTGAGAATTGTAGAGAGAGAATTGATTGGGGGGTCGTATGGGTTGAATGGGCGGTCGTAACTAAAAACCTTTAAAAATACGGAGAATATTGTAGTTTTGCGCATTAATATCGAGTTACTTAAGTTTTATTTATGTGTTTAACTAATTAGTTAGCTTAGTCTGTATTAGCAACACTTTTGAGGAAAGAAAGAAAACATTTTTATATAAGTAGATCATTGTTTTACATTTTAATATTTTATTTTATTTACCAGGCCACCATTAAAGCAAAAAGAGGGAAGGAACCTCTTTATTAGAGCCAAAATATTTAGAAAAATTAAATTTCGAGTTACAAAAGGAATTTTTAGTAAATGGTGGCAAATTACCGTTTACTAAAAATTTAATAAAATAAAGAGGCCAAATAAATGATATACAAATGGTCTGTGTTGAACAGACTTAACAAGACCCGGGTCGGGTCAGCTTGGTTTACAAATTTTTGTCTACTTATCTCTTATAATTTTTATTTTAGTTTGTTCTATGATGCATTAATGTATTAAAAAATTAGTTATACCTATGTTTGATCGTAAATTAAATTTTCTTTTGTTTGAAAGGTATTTGTACTCAGTTGCGTAGTATAATAAACTTTGTTATTTTTTATAAATTTATTTAAACGTGTGCATTTAACATTTTTAAGTTACCAATTTTCTTTTCTAAAGAACAATTAATCAAGGGGATAACAAAAAATTGATAACTCCTGTATAATATAAATTAACTTCATTTTAATCTTAATGGTTCGTGTTATAAAAATTATTTTAAGGATTTAGTTGACACTTTCGTCAATTTAAAGTATAACCAAGTGTTATTATTTTGCGTCAGTAACTAAAAACGTATTGTGTTAAACTTAGGAAGGTCGATGAAAATGGTTCTGCCTTACACTGTTATGACCTGTGCCATTTGTAAATTACTTAATAATGTTAAGTAGTAGTTGGTAAATTATTTTACCTCCTCATAATTTTTATGTTAATTTTACAGATGGATTAATTTTTTCAAGCTGAAGGCAATTTTCTAAAAAGGTATTAGTTAAGGTTTTGCAAGATTAAATTGTGGAAAACAGCTACTATAAATTAATTATGTAACAGACCGACCAAAACCCGTATTACGGGTTGCCTTTTGCTAGTTATTATTATTACTATTATAATTATAATTATTTTTATATTATTATCATAATTTTTTTTTTGAAAAAAAAAAAAGAAAATAATAATGATGTAAATTTATCCTTATAAAATTTATTGCAGTTTCCTAACCATTTTAAATTTTTTTGTTATATAAAACTTGTTAAATGAAAACTTGTTATATGAAAATCTATAATAACTATAGATAAAATTATAATAATATAAATCCGCAATAAATAAGTGTATAAGAATATATAATAATGATAAAAACATAATTACGATCAAAAAATATAAAACAAAAATTATTACATATATATAATATCACTATATTACAAATTTTATTATTGTTATTATTTTAACTTATATTGTTGCTCTTTTTTAATTTTTTACTTTTTTTCTTCTTTTTCTCTCATTTTTCTTTGTTCACTTTCTTTTCTTTCTTTCTTTTCCTTTCTTTACTTTCCTTTCTTTCTTTTTTTTTCCTTTGTTAACTTTCTTTTCTTTCTTCTTTTTTTTTTTTTTTTTTTTTTCTTCTTTTTATTTGTTTAAGTGTTATTTTAAGTGTTCTTTTTGTTTTAATATTTCAATATTCTTTTATTTATTTATTTTTTCTTTTCTTCGACTTTTTTTAATTGTTTTTTTTTAAATTAGTTTTTTTTAAAAGATTGTTTTTACAAATAATTTGTTACAAGAACTTTATACCCGAGAAAAAAAAAC